GGGAAAGAGAGGTATCATAGATAACTAACTTTGAGAATTAAGAAAGAAAAATTTTCTATATACATAGATAAAAAGAACACCCTAACATGGGAAAATTACCTTTGGTTCTTGGTCTCTGAAAACACACTGTTGTGAAGTAACAGTTGTTGCATCAACAGAGGAACTTATTTTCTCTATGCTGTGGATGATATTTCCTTTTCTGGGGGAATTTTGTCCTGTACTAAATCCATCTGGAAAGTCTGGCTTTGAGAATAAAGTCTTACTCTGCTTTAAGTAGTTAATTGATTGGTTCATACTATGTGGGTTTGGGGTAGAAAGAGATGGTTTCTCCACTTTCTTATTCTTCTCTGCCCTTAGATTGGCCATGGAAGCAAGCTGGGTATTTGAAAGTGATTTTGTCTCCATCTGGGAAGATTTACTTTTAGCCAAAACAATATTTACAACCTCTCTGGATATTTCTGTGACTGGACTTGAACTTACTATCTGTGATGTATCTTTTCTTGGTGGAATATCAGGAGAAACAGAATTCTCTTGGTCAATTTGTGACGGCAAAACATCTGTCCCCTTTTTAGCCAATAGATAGACTTTCCCATTAAACATAACCAAAGCATTATCTTTAATAGGCATACTTTTGGATTGTGTCCCACTAGGACTGATGGTACTCAATGGTGGCATATTTACAGTATTATCTCCCAAACTTTTCCTATCTACAAAAGTTTTTAAAATCTTTGAAGCCACATTATTTGAAGATTTAACAGGAACAAGAGATGGAGTGCAAGGCTGTAGATTCTCTTGAAAAATCCATTTCACTGGAGCAGCTTGAGAATGCTGACCACCTTTTAATTGTGTCTCTTTAGCAACATTCATTGGAATCTGTGTGGTATTTAGTATCATTGGCTTTGCTATTTCTGTAACAGGTTTTGGGTAAATGTTTTGAAAGTTCTTGGTAACTACATTTTTCACTGTATTTACAGGAGATACAAAAATAACAGTTGGTATTTGGGAGGCCTCAACTGTTCCTGAGGTACTTGTGGTTGCAGCTGCAAGTATCTTTTGCTGAACTGAAGGAGGCAATGAAGACGCTGGTACAGATTTCACTTCAGCATGGGCTGGAATCTGTAAATGATGCCCAGAAGGCAAAACCGGAGACTTCACAGTCATTGGAAGACTCTGGGTATTTACTAAAATATAAGATGAATCATTTTGTGTTGAGGAGGGAGAAACAGCAAACGTTTGCATGGTGAGTCCATCAATTTTCACACCATGACTCTGAACTTTAGAAACTGATGAGGTAAAATTTTCAGTTCCCACAGAAGTAACTCTAACTTTTTCTGCTGTGTCTACTGTTCTTGTAAGAAAATAGTTTGAAGAACTGGCTGGCTGAAAAATGGGCAATTGAACTGATGCACTTGTGGAAGAGCTGGAAATCTGAGTCTGAAAAGTAACTTGAACTGGATTTCCTGTATTCCCTTTCAAAGCATCAGACATGACTGTAGATTGAACTAGTGGTATAAGATTTCCAGAGGAATTAGGAATTGGAAGTAATTGCAGAAGATTTTTTCCATCCGAGCCAATCGTCTGAACTACTTGGTACATGCAGCCTGAAACACTTAAAAGAACATCGAGTAAATAAATACAACATACTACATGGTATATACATTTTATTTAAAAACAAGTATTTGCAAATACTATGTTTTAAAAATAAAAATTTATAAAATATAATAACGTAAGTATGTAATTTGTCACTTTGAGTTTTCAAAGTGAAATACTGCAAAAGAAAGAGTTTGAAGATGTAGAAGAGATAAAGATATGGTCAGCTTTGATATAGATCTCCTCACATGATTAGGCAATGGGTATAAGACATTAGCATTTATTCCTAAAAGTAGACTTTTCTAAGTTTTACCCTGTATAAAATTTCAGCTACTAGAATATGCTCCTCTTAAACTATTAGCATCCTTCCTTCTTTTCCTTAAATTCTTTCCTCTAGTCTTTCTCCTTTATTATTATTGACCAGGATTCTTATTTTACCTCCATTTACGCTTATTCTACTTCCCTCACTTTTTTCTCCCCCTACCCAATCTGTTCTGTATTCTTCCTACTGATAATGACAAGTTCTACTGTCAGCCATTCTTTGGCTTAAGGCATCTCTTAAGATGATACCTTAGTTTGCCACATTTCTGGAGACTAAACTGAGTTACTCATGTAGGAACCAGTTTCTTCTTTGATTTATTGTTCCAGCATGTTTGATGTTTGGTGTTAAATAGCTCTTGGTATGGCAATTACTCATATTAGTTCCAATTGTCAGTCAACCCATATTTATAATAGCAACATCATTTCAGCTGAATGGTTTTCAGTGAATGTGGAATACACTGGAAGTCAATAATATTTTTAACTTAGCCTATTTTGATTCTATTAAAAGTTATCAGCTATTACTTAGCACAGATTATCTGATTTTTTTTAAAAAATCCAATAGTAATCTGTATCTGTTTGTATAATCAATTATTTGTAGATTACTTAAATGCAGACACCTCAAGTTAAACCTGAAACCATCCTTCAGTTCTTGGAAAATACTAAACCCTCATGGGACTCAGGGTAGTCACACATGCTACTTATTCTTCACCCACCCATATACTCAACTCTCAACATACATGATACTTCCCAGAAGATACATTCTCTGGCCACCTTAACTACCGTTGCTCTTCCTTCACAGGTAATAATATTATACCTGTTAGTTTCCTTCATGGTACATATCATAAGTTGTCATCATATATTAATGGATTTTTTCCACTGGTCTACATATTGTATCTCATACTAAATTCCAGCAATATGGGTACAGAGTCCATGTCCTATAGACCCAATATGGCCTTACATGGCTAAGATTAAATGAAAAAAATTTAAGAATGAAAAATAATAATAATTAGAATTCTCAGTAGTGTAAAGGTGTGTTTTTCTGCCTTTAGGTGTTTTTAAAGCTTCAGGTATTAATACAAATCAAAACCAAAAATTCTATGCATCCTAGGAAGCACTGGATTTAGTTTTACCTTTCTGCAACCCCAAATAACATAATTATATCCTTATAAATATTTAAAAGTTTTCTGGCCCTTTGATAGCACTTCAAAATGTTATATTTACTTTCAATAAATTAAAGTTAATCTCTAAAGAAGTATGAACATAAAAAGTATGAATTCTTGCTTTGACAGCTTGAAGAAGAAAACCCACCTTCACCTCCTCCCTATCCCCCAAAAAGCAAATATAAACTGGATCAGAACTTAATTTATTAAACCAAAATTTACTGAGTGTCTGTTATGGTTTAGGCACCAGACTCAGTTATGTAGCTCAGTAAGCCACAGCCTGGGGCCAAGTCTGGCCCTCTCCCTGTTTTTGTATAGTACACAAGCTAAGAATGGTCTTTATATTTTAATTTAAAAAAATCACAAAAATAAAATTTTGTGATATATGAAAATTATGAGTTTCAAAACTCTGTATCCATAAACAAAGTTTTATTAGTACACAGTCACACACATTTTTTTATGTATTGTACATGGCTGCTTTCTGCTGCAACAACAGAGTTAAGTAGTTGCAGCAAAGATCACATGGCCTATAAAGCCTAAACATTTACTATCTGGTCCTTTACAGAAAATGTTTGCTAGCCTCTAAGCTAGTTCAACCCACAATCCCTAAAAGAACTTAAAATGCTGGGTACACGGACATGTAAATAGGCAATTTTTATTGAGATAAATGATGTACTTGGAAGAGTACAAAAATGCTCACTCCTTTTCTTTAAACATTTTCTTCCCAAGGTTTCCTAGATATGACATACTTCTATCCCTGTAGTGACTCCTCAGTCTTCTTTGCCAACTCATCCTGCTTGAATCAACCTTAAAATGCTGGAATTCACCAAAGCTTAGAGTAAATTCTTCTCTTCTTACTCTGTCAGCTTTCCTCCAGATGATTTATTTTATATGCATGATTTCAACTAAACTACCATTTATATATCAACAATTCAAATAGTTATATCTTAGCTCCTTTGAGATTCAGGCTTATATGTCCAACTTCCCTCTTGACATTTCCATTCAGAATCTCAAACGCACCTAAAACTCAACATGGTCTTTTCCAGTGTTTTTCCTTCAGTAAATGGCATCCGAACTATCTTAGATGCCTAAATCTGAACAAGTAATTCCAACTTTCTTACCATCTGTATTCAACCTATCACAAAATCCTGTTGATATTAACTCCTAAATTTCTCTCGATCTATTCAATCGTTTACAAATCAATTGTTCCCACTCTAGTCCATCTCTGGCTTGGTCTATTATGGTAGCTTCATAACTGGCCTTTTCTTCAGTCTACCATCTCCTCTTCAGATTACTCAGCACTCTAACGCTAGCCCTTCCCAGCTTAAAACATTTCATCAGCTTCCACTTTCTTTGAGTGGTAGAAAGAAAATCAAGAGATTCTGATGCAATGGAAGCCAAAGGAAGAGTGAGTTTCAAAAAAATTGGGCAATTCTATTGAAAGTTTCTGAGAGGCCAAAGAGGATGCAGGTTAAAAATGTATACTGGAATTAAGGGCATGAGGATCACTGATGGCTTTAAAAGAGCAGTTTGGTGAGGAAAGAAGTTGGTAGGAGTGAATATGAAGAAAGAATATGAAGACAACAAGGATAGACAACTCTTTTATGAACTTTGACTGTAAGAGGAAGAGAAAAACTGGAAAGCAGCTGGAAATTAAATGGGGTCAAAGAAAAGATCTTTTTTTTTTAATGTTAGGTGAACAGAGCATAAATGCTCATGTGAGTCAACGAAAGGAAGAGACTGGTAATAAAGGAGAAAAAGGGGTAATTAATAATGTAAAGTTTGAAAAGGAGGTAGGAAATTGAGACCATAAGACAGTTGAAGGGACTGAACCTTAAAGAGAGCTGGAGAAGTATGTCTTTTCATCGCAACTGGAAGAGAGGTTAGGTGCATCTGCAGGTAAATTTAAAGCTTTGGCATTAGAAGTTTGAGGTAATTCTGATCTAGTGGCTTTTACTTGCACTATGAAATAAGGACATGACATCATTTGCTAAGAAGAGCAAAAACAGGGAGAGATTTTAGGATAATCAAAAAGATTTGAAACAGTCTTTGTGAAAAAATAAGCTGACCTCAGAAAATATGAGTCATCAGGCAGTGTTGATGGCCCAGGGAGATAGGTAATGATCATGCATTCATAGTAATACCAAACTGTGCTCATGAGAGTCTCCTTGTTTCACCAGGTACAGGCAGAGAAAGTAAATCACCGAGTTCATCCAAGATTGGGGTGGCTTCAGAAGGGTATAACAAAAATCAAAGAGGAGCAAAAGATTTTAGGGTACTGAAAAAAATTACCAAATGATGAAATACAGAATCTATACTAGACGGGAAGGAAATGAGAACATAAAAGGCTAATGTATAGGGAGAAAATAAAGGGAATGGACTGAGGGCCAGATAAATAACAGTCAGAGTGGGAATACTTAAACAACTAAGCTAAAATATAGGAACTGGTGTTTGGACAGCAGGATGCCTAAATCAAGAATTTTGTAGATGCAGCAATTTCATCTGATAACAAGAACTACAGAAGTGGATAGCTGGTGATAGAATGGAGAAAACACTGAGGAAAAAGATCTTTGTACTGAAAGACCAGGTGACAAAGAGGTTATCCATACAGAAGCTAAAGTTATGTAGGATTAGAGAGAAGATTGGGATGTGGGTGCCAAGTTCAGTGACAGAAAGTTAGTAGATGGTGTTAATGAACCATAATTAGGACCATCTACCAACTTTCTGTCACTGATATGGCAAAAAGTTGTCCTGAAGCCCACTGTCTTCTGCAATCTATTTTCTTTCCCATTATTCTACAACACCTTATTCTCAAAGATTATGAAATATGTCCGCACAGTTAAATCTGGCTTTACTCTATACTCATTCCCTAGGTGCTCTCTGCTGAAATTAACACTGGTGGCTAATTATCCCTCCATCTTGAACCTCTTTCTACTACGATTTCCATTGTGTACAATATTTCTTGTCTTTCCTAATGTTGCCTTTCTTATTCATTTTCTGCATTTTAAGTATCCAACTATGACTTCCCAAAGTACAGTTCTTGACCCTGTTTTTTCTTTAACACATTCTTCCTTTGTAAATCAACCATACTTCAATAAAAAAATAAAATTTAAAAAAGGTATTCTTCCTTAAAGACTGCACCAAGGTAATAGTTCAAAGCTTCAACTATTACCTTCAACTATCTCTTCTGCAATGATGACTCTCACGTTATATCCTTTTATTCTATCCCCTAATATTGACCTCAATTCCATATTTGTGATGTCTGACCAAACATTTTCACTTTTAATACCATTACTTTAAAGTTAAAATTACTCTGTACTGAAAACTACTAGTCTATTTTACTATCCAGTCATGTGTCAGCACTACTGTTTTCCAGGTCACTTAGGTCTTAAATCACCTCGTAATCTCTATCTTTACCACCCTCTTTATTCACCTTTAATTCACCCATAGTACTTTGTATAGATGCTTACAAAGGATAAACATTCAATAAATGTACACTGAATGAATCACCAAGTCTATAAAATTTGTTTTTTTTCTT